CATACAGCACACTTGCAGGGATCACAACAGAGAGTAACCGAATATGTGTCCATAATGAGAACACGACCTGCAATCCCTTTATCCATGTCAGGGATCTACCATACTTACATACTTAGTGCTATCGCATCTACTAGGGTATAACTGACACATACACAAACATGCAAACATGCAAACATGCAAACATGCAAACATGTAAACATGTAAACATTGGTATACCTGGGGTTCCCCACACAGATAACAAATTTCCACGAAAGGGAGTTGAGGTCTGAGCTCGAGTGGAGTTTACTGAAATTGAATTTAATTACAGTTTTCTCTTTTTGCTTTTAATTTTCTGATGCTTTTCCCACGTTTGTGACTTTTTGCAAGGATCCGCTAAGGCGTAAACCCCCTGCAGGTTTTGGCTTAGGTCACGTTTCAGATATCCCCGTCGATCAGGCCATGCCATGTGGCCACCTTTTTGCAAGGCAGATTTCAAGTGCCTGAGCACCGATGCCTACTTCTGGTAATGATCGTTGTAGTTCAATATGTCATCAGAACACTGCCATCATAACACTGCCATCAGAAATGGACTACTAGAAGTCAAATCTTTCGGGAAATAATGTATTGATTGGAATACTACTACGGAGTAGTATCTTTTCAATACACCGGCTCTTCTTAAACGGTAAATAAATAAATGCATTGTTCATGCGACCGAGTCTGACAAGGAGTTTCATTTCCCAGTCGGCTTGGAGGCTTGCGCCAAGGATCATTATCCTTGTCGTCCATGTGGCTAACAAAATGGAAAGAAATGAGAGCTAATTTAGGGCACGTAACCATGCACTGCAGGATCTGCATGCACCAGCAGCTAGCGGAGTTTAGGCAAGTGTATAGAAGTGACTATTAACTAGATTAGGAATAAGTGACTTCTGTTTCATCTTACTGTGTCCGTGTACATATCTGCAAGGCATTGAATTAGGAAGGTGCTCGTGCTGTTTTGGGATGAGTTTACTGTCTTTAGTGTCTTTTGATACTTATTTATAACATACACAGCCGATATTAGTTGACATTTACTTATAGATTTGCCCGATCGGCTCGGAAGACGCCTTTCACCTATAGGTAAGGTGATCATATAACGTACAATTATTAGGTATATCTACGCTGTCCTAAACCTGATATTGATAGCAAGGGATTTAAAATTAGTTAACTTTTATTTGCCGTGCCCTACTCCGTCGCTATCTAAAATCTAAGCCGAAATTTTAAAAAAAAAAACAAAAAAAAAAAAGGGAGGCATTTATTTACTCCAGACATTACAGCTAATATGGGGCAAACTAGATCTACATATATTAAATGTACTTCTGTCCTCGGACCATGGTTCGTCGATACTTCCGACCCCTTTTTTTTTCATTTCTGCGGAGACAACTTCTATACGGAGAGTCATATCTTCCGATGTGCGACGGAGCTAATTCATTCGCTTCGAGACCACATGGCCAACTGTGGGCCTTTGCAGATCAACGTTGTGAGCTTGGAGATTTATTGGATCTAATCCGCCTACTCCGTAGGTAGATTGCCTTTTAGAGAGCTCAATGCCAATTGGTCTAGCTATATCCAGATGTAGACTATCTCACAAAGCTAATTAAGGAACATTACACCGTCTTTTGCCAACAGCATTCGAAAGGAATATTCTGCACACCAACATAGCTTTAAGCCAATCAGAAAAATATAATTGTCGAGTCTCATGCATAACCAGCTAGATACACGCATGACATCATGCACGATATTCTGGGCATGCACTTGTTGACGCTGTTGGTTCGGTTGTAGTTTTTATTGGCTCGTTACTCTGCAGTTGAGGATGATTGTGTAACAATTGTCCGATTGGGCTGAGAATAGGTATAATGCATCGCCCTCTATACTATTTTGAGTATGTTGATATTGTATATCGATCGGCGTGCCAATATAATTTCCGGCTATATCGGCAATGTACTCCGTTTAGAATTTATATCTGACATTTATGGATATGGGACCATGTAAGGGTACTTGACAAATAGTGGCTTTGACTTGGGACAACCCGTTTAACCAGTCCTGCTCTATTTAGCCTAGTCTCTGGGAAATAGCTCCATCTTTCAAGGGTTATTTCATCAACACATTCAGCTGTAACAGACTATCAGACTAGCGTCCTTCAATCTCCTTTCTCTTTCTTGCAGGCCTAGATCGTCGCTGGATTTGCTTTACTTGGAGCCATGTGGCTGTCAAACCCGGATTAAGCCCGTGTCAAGTCCGCCTAGCCGCTGTTGGGCTTACCTTGATCTACTTGGTCGGTCGATCTCGGCCAGTATGTCGGGGGCAAAGGCTATGCAGCTATAGACTACTGTTGGAGCTAGCCAGCTGGCAATCATGACCGATGTGGCTTTTTTGGGGTCTGTGTCTCCTTGATGTCATGTAAATGAGGGGACGGGATACTAGGCATCAGCGAAGGGTAGTTGGATGTCACCCTCTTGTTCGAGTTGGGAAGATGGAGACCTGACTGATTGATGCACGCGTAAGTCGTTCCTAGTCCAGGAGCGATGTGGGCTGCTCCAGGAATTTCAGTGTCAGGGAGACCCTTACAACCATATCTCTCGCTCTTCTCAACGACATTTGCTAACTGGTGTCTAGACTTGATCTTTGAGCAGCTCAATACTTTGTTTTGCTCTAATCTTCGGGGGATTTTAACAACTCATGTCACAAATTGCCAGTGCCGACGCTGTACAAGCAGCAAAGGAACACTACCTTTATTCACTCTCCTCTCACACTTCTTCTTCCAAGTTTCTTCCTCTGGAGAGGTCTACTTTTTCATGGGCTCTGTAAAAGGCCTTTCTGTGCAACCACTTTAGGTTGACTCTTGACGTTCGTCATCAGACATCAACGATCTCAAGCAGTAACGAACTCCATTATCCTGTGACTCCCTCGAGGAATCCATCACCCCCCAAAATATTTACCTTCTCTCTACCGGTAGCAAATCTTCTACCTTCTACTTCAAGATCATGAAGCATCACCTTGGAGCCAGTCAAGCCATACAAGCCGTCCCCAAGCCAAAGTCCCGAGCCCGAGTCTCAAGAACCCTCAGCTCCCACCCATCAAGCCCTGCACTCCTACTCTTAACCTCAACAATACACTCAAACTAGCAACCCCAATCCCACCACCTGCAGCACGAACACCTCATCAAGAAACGGATCGAACCCGAAGACAGTCAGTCCACTTGTCTGCGCCATCACCAGACAATTTCCGACACCGCTAAGTTCGGTGATACTCGCGCCTGGAATGGCGAAGACAAACTCTTTGGTGTTGCTCAGTGTGGCGAAACTGTGGTTCCATGGCCCCATGGTCCCATAATCCGGTTCATACACTTAAGAGCGCTGGCCTTGTGTGTTGCACCATCATGTAGAAGTCATTCTACCAGTAGGCTGTGCTAAGGCTATTAGACTTCTTTCTAAGATCAACAGTACGCGGTTATGTTGGACTATGTTGGGCTATGTTAGACTACGTAGTAGGTCTATGGAGGGGTCTGGGTTAGGTGTTGCTTTGTTGTAGTGGTATCATTCTCGGCCTCTTTTAGAAAACGCTCAACCTTAGACTTAGTTTCTGGATTGACCCCTGCTGGTGCATTTGATGTGTATTCGAATGACATCGTTAGCATATCGGAGTGGACGTAGTGCTGTTGTAGGATAGGAGGTTGTTCGATATATTCCTCATCGGGTCAGTGGGTGATACTTTGCACTGAAACAAATGAGGTACATATGACAAGGTTGCAATATCTGAAGCAGCAAGGTGTATGTTACTCACCTAGAGTAAGTTTCTCTTCGATATGCTCCTAATGTTGCCTACCTGTGTCCATCATGTTACAGTGGTGATGGGGCGGATATATATAAACTGACATAGGAATAGTAGATATTTTAACGTCACTTTTCCCACATTCCGTATATCCCACATTCCGGTCGATTCAGAGCTTGTGATCTACTATATATCCATTGAAGATTATTTTATATTGAAACTGGTTGTAGAAGTGATGCCGCACTTGGTATATTGGCTGTAAACAGACCTGGGAGTTGGGCGAAGGTCATCAATATATAGTTGACCTTGACATTAGCAATTAACATCAGTAGACCTATTAGAATGAACCAGATGAGACAGGTAGAAAAGACGACCCATGTCATTTACCTGATTGAACATTAAATCTTCCAGCGACGCCATGAAACCCAGAATGCTATATGAACTGCTCGCCCGGGGATGCAACAGCAGACCCAGCCTTGACCAAGAAACCACCATTAGTTTAGCCTACGAGAAAACGACCACGGACTGATGTGCATATCCATTCTCACATTAAGTACAGCTGATTGATCTCGCCTATTTTCAGTCACGCATTCCCCAATTAGACCAATCAGAGTGAATTGCAGAACGCGAGAAGCTCGTGATGGGAGCGATGGTCAGAGACCTGGCTGAAAACTGGAAAAGAGACCAGGAGAAAAAAGTAAAAGAGAATCACATAAAAAAGGAATGGGTTGCTCATAAAAAAGGGAAATGTCGAGTATCGATAGAGCCGAAATAGAAAGAAACGCCTTTTCGAGCACAATGTCTCTATATCCACTGAGACTTCACTATAATTGAACAAGATACAATGATCGGGTCTTCGGCAGAGACGGCGGGTATCGTGGTTAATTTCTCGATATAGATCTGCAGAGATGCCAATCAAGAAGCAAGTCAACTTCATCCAAGAAGCAGTCACGGAGCGGGTTGGTAAAAAGCAACTTGGAGGCAGGGCCGAAGAGACAACAGGTCACCAGCTGGGGGACATCGACTTCGGTCGAGGCATATGCCGTTCGGATATCATAACTCCGCAGAATAACCCGAGTGAAAAATAATGACAACAGGATAGGGAAGCTCTCGCAAAGGAGTCTGATCGAGGCAGAAAGGACGTGTGTTTCGCTAATACCGAGTGAAGAGAAGAAGGGGAGGGTACATGAAGGGTTCGAAAAATGGGTATTGATTTAGCGATCGGGATTCGTCACCTGTATCGTAAGTCAGCTTGGAAACGGCACTATTAGGTGTCGCGTATGCTTACCTGCAAGATCCGGCGAGAGAAATCATGGTCATCATCGATGCTGCCATTGCTCTGACGACGCTGAGCCATGTAGTCGCCATCGAACCGAGAATCGGACATCGAGGGCGGACCAGAGTCACGACCATAACCGCCAGTGGCCCCGCCCGCAGCGCCGGCCTTATTCTTCTTGGATCGCCACCAGAAGAAGACAGCACCGCAGAGAGCAGCGAAACCAACCACTCCGATCACGACTCCGGCCGCAATTGCGGCAGTGTTCTTGCTCTTGGCGGACTTTTCATCGATATCTTCAGGGACGCCGCTCGCGCTGGCCTCAGATGTCGCGGTCTCTGTCCTTACGCTAGAACTAGTGGAAGCGGTGGAGGCAGCACCGTCGGTTGTCGTAGTTTTGCTGCCGCTACTGGTCGTGGTAGTGGTGGACTTGGTGTCGTCTTCGTACGTGGGAACATCCGCTATCAAATTCGTGGTATAGATAGAGTAGTAGTCGGTACCACCGCCTATTTGAAATTATCGTTAGCAATTCAATTCTCTGAGACCGATGGGTGAGCGATATAAACATACACATATCATCGGGCCAGCCACTGCACGACTTGCTGCATTTGTCGGATGAAACCTTGGCACTGGCTGGTGGTAGCGTATTACCGCACACACAGTCAGAGCCTCCTGTCAAAGCAAATGTCGCGTACTCTTTCGCACAATGGTCCAGGCACCATCCGGAACTCTGAAACGTCCAGCTCATTGCCTTTCCGTATCCAGGAATCTTAGAGTAGCAACCTTGAAGTTCCGCTGCTGGGGCGCGAGGTAGCACCTTGAAGTCTTTTGCAACGGCTGAGGTGGCTGCCATTAGCACACCAGACACGGCGAGGGCGCCATGAGTGTTGAAAAGCATGATGTATTGGGAGAGTAGGGAAGTCGAATATCGAAATCAGCGTGGGGAGTAAGCACCGCTGGACACAGTCGCAGGGGTGGTTGGCGAAGGACTGGGGACGGCCTGCGTAACCCTCTAAGAACTTCTGAATGTATGTCGGTAGACGTCGTTTGTTCTCAAACTATCCACCACGTTCGGACTTATTCAGATCGGATGTATTGAATGAGAAAGTTGAGGTTTTGCGAGAGGGGAAAAGTGAAAGAAAGGTTTCGCGTAGTGTTGACGGGTACCCGGAGTACGTGGTCGAGTAGAGGTTCACCCCCTACAAGTCGGGATTGAGAGAGCGACCGTGAACTAATTATCAGTTCAGATGGTAACGCCCAAATAAAAGGGAGTAAACGAGCGAAGAAAGGTTGTCGGTAACGAATGTGTGCAAAGGGGAGATGGGAAGATCAGGAGGGAAGAGAAGTGACGGATAATGGATCCCTTGGGAAAGGGACTGTCAAGGGGTCTGTGTTCCCCGGAGAAGGTATGAGGTACTTAAAATATGGGGGGAGGGCCCTGTTGTACTCGAGTACCAGGTACTTTCAAGGCAGGTCTTTCACGGACTGTTTCATTGTTGTTTGCTCCCTGTATGGTACAAGTATCAGGTATACAAACAAACAGTCATCCAATGATACACCCGATTGTAATTACATAATCAGGTACCCGCCCGTGTAATCCAAGGGACCGTGGCTGATCGATTTCCAATTTTGGTCAAACACGGCAGCTAAATGGAGTCCTTGGGCATTCCGCTAGTCTTTTTCGGGTACTAAGCGGTGATTTCGAGACTCTTATTGTGTGAATCTCAATATTCAAAATGTTCTAAGGTTATTTACTTTACACTTATGAAAGATCGTCCTTGCCACACACCTGAGGACCCTTGATGACGATATGTTTACCCCTCAAAAAAAATCAAATGTACAATGCATATGGAGTAGTTCTTCCTCGGCTAACGCTTGTTCCATCTACTCCGTACTTAGGTAGGATCAGCTTCCTTTTAATCTGTAAAATGACTATGGTCCTTTGTGGCTGACAAGTACCTTGGCTGTCTCGGGCTTGGGAAATACAGATCTCCATTTGAGTACAACACACAGAGTGAAAAAAATAAATAAATACTATTTCAGACGGGCTATGTAATTTCCCAGGCGGAGTCAATTTCAATACCCCGTATAAGCGCTAAAAACGTTCAATTACGAAGTACTCAGTACATGAAACTTGAAGGATCTAGCAGTTAACATTGTGATGCTTCGAGTAATTGTAAATATCCAAGAGGTATCTCTTCTTTAGGTTTTTCCCTGTACTCCCTTTTTTTCATGACCAAAATTATTTCCATGGATAATGAGCGGCCACTCCCGAGTGGAGCCAACCTTGGAAATTATCTGTTATACTACTGTTACCTATACACTTCAGGGCAGGTTTTGTTAAATGCACTTAGCCACTCAAAACGGTCCATAACGAAATTTTCAGTAAAATAGGGCACTGTGGCTTAAGATCTACAATTCTCCTCCATATATACTCTATAAATGGAATGTCATCCATAGTACGGAGTACTTTGGCTGTATATTGTTGAACATTTTTTTTGGTTATACCTCAAGTACTCCGTATTCGTCCACTGACTTGGCATGATGTTATGTGATATTATTAGCATTGACAACCATTCCCCTATTCCGTGCATATAACAGCCCTGGAGATATCGGAGGTTATTTAATCCCACATTACCGTCATGCGAGAACTTCGATATATCCAGACCCTTTACTCCATACGGAGTACGGAGTACTGAATGAAGAGATAAATTTACTGGTCAATATAACATAGGCAGCCAAGTGCACCCGAATAGGAAATGTGTATAATCTATCGGATGTACCTTGCAGACCTAGGTAGTCCCTTGCAACCAATTCCGAGCCACAAGTTATATTGTTATTGCAACTGCCGGACCATTTAATTTAAACCTCCTGAGTATGTGGGCATCAAAGCCGTTTGAACGTCAACAAAATGGCCTAGACAGGTAAGCATATCCCCACACCATCAAGTTCGATAATTATAGCCAAAACAATGTCACCGCCAAATCCCTTTAAAAAATTACGGAGAAAACAGTAAACGCTAAATAAAGAGCGATCTTCCGACTGTGAGACATTATCCACGATCTGCTTAGGTTCGGCAGCCGAGTACGGAGAACAACTGTACAAAATATAACTCAGAGCCTCAAAAACACCGTATGCACAGGCAATACCGGTCTGTACTGCCGTACTCCGTACACAGTAATTCATCAAAATTGCCCAGACCTGTCAAGACGGAGAGACCTGGACCACACAGAGATATTCCGGGACCCGTGGCGTCCACTAGACCAGTTGGATGCTCCACCTGCCAAAGGAATCATGTAGAAACGCATCCCTTGCCGGGCTTCACAGCAATCATAAACCAAAGAAGATAGATTTTAGTTACTTACTTTGCTTAAATATTTTATTTTCGGAGTATCTCGAGGCCAAACATCAATTCAATGTATCCCAACTGTGGGTAAGTCTTCAATGAATATCAAAGTGAAACTTGCGTCTGGGTCTAGAACCCGCATGCCTGACCCACGATATCCTGAGGGTCTGGCCAAGGACTCAACATCTAATTTTAAATGCCAAAAATTCTGATCTTGCCTGTGACCTTTATTGATCTGCCATATTCTAGAAATGCGGAAGGACCGGCTTGATTACCTCGGAAGATACTAGACTATGATTCTGCTTAGGAATACAATGAGCATTTGGATATATCATCCCAAAGTACTCTGCTAAGAACTAAACTCAACCCAGATCCCAACAATATGAACTTTAGGGTTCTAGTAATCCTCAACACGCTCAATTTTAAATACCAAAAAGTACACAAGAGGGGAAAAAAAGAAGCATACTATTACCAAAGCTCAACACAAAACAGGTCAAAAACAAATATAGTAACACCATTAAGCCTAAGCCTCAAACCTCAAATATAAGAGTAACTTGCACACATTCCCACAGACCTATCTGGAACCCGTCGTTGAGAACCATCCCGACCCACATCCTTCTCATAGAAGCTACACCCTCCACGAGCACAAACATAGTGAATCCCATGCTGCACCTCCGCCGAAGCCCCCGTTATCTGCCTACGAGTGTACTCGCCGCATTTGCAGAGCGGGTTGGCAGGACTTATCCCACGTTGATCAGCAAAGCAGATGAATCGATCACATGGGTAGCATTTGTAATACGGGCGGCCTGCATTGCCATTCGGGTTGTCCTCCTTGACATTCAGTCTTATACCAGCTCCGCGGCATTTGGGGCATGTTGGGGGATTAAGACTGGTGATGGTCATCGTCGTAGTTGTGATAGGCTTGATCTACTATAGTGGCTTAGATGCGATCTGGTGAGTTGGTCATAGGGTTTGCGTGAACTTGCCTTCTCTGGGTTCCTATATTCGACGATTTTTTGTTGTATCGAAGTCCTCATTGACAACCCTGGAGGTTGTGAGAGATAGACAACGGGTCATTATGACGATCTGTATAGGTCAATATTGCGTGTGCCATGAACGTTATCGATTGATGGAATATCCGTGATTCACTTAGAATCGGCAGTTGTATATGGATAGCTTCAAACACATTGACATTGTATATTGAAATAACCCTCTACACAACTATGCAGGAGTTATACCCTTGAAAGGGAGGAGATATTTACAAAGTAATGTTTTTTTGTTTGAACAGTCATATTATACCTACCTCATTCCATTCCATGGTTGCTCAGTAGGCAACGGCTCAACCCACTGCGCTCTTGGACCACCGGTCTCCTATCCTGCCGTCGAAAGATATATTTGTAGACACAACTGGAGATGGGGGACTTTCTGGGGATACAAACGACGCAACAAGAAGAAGAGTAAAGAAGGAAGCAGAGTTCTTTTTTTATTCGCGAGGATTATCCAGGTTTATAGATGCAGCCAGCAAAGGAAAGCAAATCAGAGAGAAACCAAACACCCGCTGTGTTTAACAAGATGTAATAAGAAACCCAAACCCAAACACAAGCCTCACACAAAAGAAGTCGCAATAGAAAAATGCACCAAATGCCCAGGAATATAGCATTGACGGCCATTATCCAACATCGGCTCGTAGTAGTCACATCCTCCACGAGCACAGACATAATGCAGGCCTCATGGGAACTGCTTTCGAATACCTGATATCTGCCTTCGAGAGTACCGACCGCAGTCACATAGCGGGTTAGCGGGGCTTATACCGCGCCGATCGTCGAAGCAGATGAATCGATCGCATGTGTCGCATTTGTAAAACGGACGGCCTACATTACCGTTTGGGTTGTCGTCGTTGACGGTCCGTTTTATGCCATCATTGTGGCATTTGAAACACACTGGGTGTCCCAATGTGGCCAGGCACGTTGCGGTGAAAGGCTTGAATAGATATGGTGGGGTGTTTGGCTCAGAGAGAAAAGCAGACGAATACCTGCGGATCTAGGAGTTCTTTGGCCATCATGACAGGATGAAAGGCTGCAGGTATGCCCGTCAGCATTGCGTGTGTCTCCTTGTTCTTAAAGTTGATGGAGGATCCACGGCTCATTTCCTTGCTTGTATATGTACTTGAGATTGACGACGAGTAGTGCTGTTGAATAGCTATATACAGGTTCAATACTGACCTTGCCGGTCACAATCATGCAACCCAACTCCTATGCAAAAACCACAATGACTAAAGTCAATCTATGCAATTGAAATTCAATTAAGCATCCTTATTTAAGTGCATCGAGATCATGCTATGCCTTGTCTACAGACAATGGCCCTCCCGATATTTATTTTCAGTTGTCCAAGTTGAGAGAGACAACAGACTCAGGCATTCTTTTTCCAACAGTTAATGCGCGGCCAAATTTGGGTTGAGCTCATGGCTTAGGAATGTGTATAGTCTTGCTGATCATCATGCATCCATGTAGAACGAACATCAGGACCACAGGGTGGAATTCAAAGATGGTACC